GGGCGGTCATTTTCATTTGATCTACCACACCCTGGCAGGCTGGGCTGAGAATGCATCTGGATCTCTGTGCCTCGGTGGGCAAACACTTTGATCTGCCAGCCATCCCTGGGAGACAGACAAAAGGTGTGTGAAATCATCCGTGCAGCCCCTACTCTGAGATGTTGTATAAATCTCATTATCATAATGAAATACCTGAGACAGGCTAGCTCAATTTTAAAAAAGAGGTCTACTCAGTTCACTGATTTGAGGGCTCGAGGGCACGTGGCTGGCGTTGGTTCAGTTCTGCACGTACCTTCCTTGTTGTCGGTGTCCTGAGTCAGCTAATAATCTCATGAGGCAGTGAGTCTATGTGCATACCTGCAAATTTGGTCTTTCTCCTATTTCTTATAAACCATCTGAATAAACCATGGGCGTTCTGCCCTAACAACCTAATCTAGCCTTAATCGTTTTCCAAAAGGTTCATCTTTAGACCCTTTAGTTAGGTTTTGTTTGAACGATGTTTATATCATCGACAAATGACTCCGGGGACTCAACACCTATGTGAGTATGGGACACTGGTAGTCCTAGTCAACCTAGTCTAGGTATCCAGGAGTCACGAAAGGGGTCTGGTGATGTAGGACTCTGGTCCTAGAGAAGACAATAGACATATAAATTGGAAAAGAAGGATAGAACAGCAGGGCAAGTCTTGATGACGGACCCTACCAAGGAAAAATGCTCAACATTCACCACATGGAAACCTTGGGAGAGGGGGAGGGTGGGCTCGGTCAGTGGAGTGTTTGCCATGCAAACATGGGGACCTGAGTTCGAATCCCCAGCACCTATGTCAAAACTGGGTAATGTAACACACACCTGTAACCCCAAGACTGGGAAGAGGCAGAGGCAGATAAAATCCTGGAGTTCATGGACCAGCTGGCCTGCCTGGATTGTTCAGGTTCCGTGAGAGAGTCTGTCAAAAAATGAAGTGCAGAGTGCTTGAGGGAGACATCTGCTGTCACCTCCAGCCTCCATATTGCCATGGACGCAATGTGCATGTACCCACATAAACGGTATGGGGTGGGTAGAGTGAGAGAGGGAGGGAAAGAGGGAGGGAGGGAAAGAGGGAGGGAGGGAAGGAGGGAGACCTTGGGAGATGCATAAGATGTATAATGGAGTGTGGCACTCTGCGTCCACCAGCAGAAGAGACGACCACAACAGGATTCTTCTCAGAACGTACTTTTATTGAGAGTGCACAACTTGAGGTTGATGGCGAAGGACCCCGGACCCTGGTGCGCACGGCTTATAAGCCATGCAGAACAAAGCCTGAGACGTGTCCTAGTCTGAATGGCTCTGGCCGCTCCTGATTTTACGAGTCAGCTCACGATTGGCGGTTGGATGGCGCCATTCGGGAAAGCGCGCCAAGCGCCTCGGGGCAGGGCCAAAGCTGCTTGAGAGGCAGGAAATGATGGCAGGGTTGTGGTGCCTTGGTGCCCTACATCTCCCCCATATATTATATATATATATATTAATAGACGCACAGGACGTATCCGATCAGGTCGGAACCTCATGATGATCCAACCGATCAAGGACAGTGGTTCCGGAGAGAAAGGATGCCAACGTCTTCCCGAGTGCAAGGGCAACAAGGCCTAACTGGGTGCAAAGGCCATTGGCTGCCAACGCCTTCCCGAGTGCAAGGGCAACAAGGCCGATCGGGGTGCAAAGGCCATTGGCTTTCTGCAAGAGCCCCACCCTACCAGGTGCAATGACAACAATGTCGCTGGGTGCAAGGGCTGAGGCCTTACAAGTCCCTCTTAAGGCTGGCAAGCCATACCTGGGGGGAGACGCCCTGATCAATCGCTGCCAGCGCCTGAACGATCACACCTTTATCTCGAGCCTGTCGTGCTCAGAGACGGCACAGCAGCCACAGACACAGGAAAACGCCTAGGCATACTAAAGCGCCAAACAATCCCACCCCAACCCATTCCTTAAAGAAGGTGAAAACTGAAGTCAACCAAGAGGTCAGGTCTTTGAGGGTGACAGGATCAACACGGGTTCCATTAAGTTCGGCAATTTGGACCAGCTGCTGCTGAATGAGTTGCTCTGCCTCTCGCGACCAGTGTCCAGCTAAATAGTCTCCCAGCCTTTTGCTCTTATTTCCTGCATCAATAAATCTCAAAGGGGTTATGCACATATGTTTCATTTGTGAAATGCATCCTACTTGTATCAAGCTATGTAATTCTTCTACTTGTACTTGCACTAAATCTATTCTTTGATTAGCAGCCACAGCAAATGTTTGTTACCACATTTTGGGTCTCAAGGACCCTTGATGTTTGTTCCACAACTTTGTTAATGGTCTGTGCCGTTTGTACTTGATTGGCCATAGCCACTGCCACAGTTGTAGCTCTGCCTGCCGAAAAGACTATGGCAGCCACAATTGCAGAAGCAATGCCAAAGTCTCTACGTTCCCTTAGCAAAGTCATCAGCAGAAAGGTATCTGGATCTACTTCCACTGGAATGGGAACTATAGTAGGCACCTTCATGACCACTGCGGTTGGCCATGTATTATTCCAGCATTCTGCAAGCCAGCATTGATCTTCAGCACAATTTACAATGTGATTAGTGGAACTCACAAGTAAAAACACAAAAGGTGCCTGTACACATACCTCAGCCCTGGAATAAATGGCGTTAGACTTTTCTCCATTAACAGTGATATTGTATAATCGCCCAGTTTTTACTGTTCCTGAGATGTTAAGCATCTTATGTACTACGTCATTGGTCTGAGCCAAAGCGGAAATATCAGACACGGCACCGGCCTCATTGGAGACAAGCCATTGAAACCAAGGCCAACCATCTCCAACAGTTGAAGCATTTCCTCTTCCCCATATATGTCGCTTTAGTGGGGGTGACATAGTAAAACCCTCACTAACTGATTTTCTCTCCCACGATTTGCTTTGGCATATGGTAAAAACTGGGGGAAATGAGGTATCTGGTTCACAATGGGGCAAAGCTGTAAATTGAGTGCCAATCTGGGTCCCATCATAAGGTTGGGGTACGCGCGCAGTGCTTGTAATGGCTAGGGTGGTAATATTTACTGTGTTTGAGTCATTTTCATCACTGCTGCTGCCTGCATGCTGTCCTTGAGTATCCTGTGTCAGGACGGAAAATATCATTCCGACAGAGACCCTAGAATTCTGAAGAGGATTTAGCCAGGCAGTAATATTTCTCTTCCTTAATAGAATGCAGTTGGCATTGTTCAGGGAAAAACAATAGGAACCTAACAAGTTAATCTTAGAAGCATTAAAGCGTTGCGGGTTACCACCAATAGGAATCATGCAGGGCACATCCATATCGTAGGATGTAGAAAAAACTACCGGAAGCACACTGGGATTAGCATGCACTGGCATCGGCATCGGCCATGTCCTGGTCACTTCTCCTTTGTTTGGGATGGTTTTCCATGCCCGTGTGGCTAGTGTGTTAATTTGTGTATAGA